CATTTTGCTAGTATATCAGCCTTTCGGGTTTTATAATCTCTTCCCTTTGTGGACAGTGTTATCCTGCCCGGCACAGCGTCAGAGAAGTTACAGGTTATGACCAATACTAATAAAAGAGGGAGTATCAAATAATCATCCGTGACTTGAACAATTCACAGACAACTCAAGCTCTCGAGAAATTTCCACTGTTCACAATTCATTCTCTTCCAGCGGCTATCTTCCCAATTTCATACACTACTTGCTCTCATGTTAAATGTATTTACTTGTTGTAAACCAATTCTTGTGAAATACACCTGTACTCTGCGTTCTCTACATTTTCAATTTAGAAAATCTTAACATCCTCAGTCTTTTGAATATCAAATATATATTTTGTGAAACTACCATAATATATTTCGTATTTATCTCGTCCATATTTCTACTACTGATGCACTGGTTTGTAATATATTTCCTGCTCCTCTTGCCCTCTTAATACACTAGTGAAACCGAGGTGTTAGCCAACTGTTGTGGGTTGCATCCTGGTGGAAAGGATTAAAGACTCTAGTGATAATAAGTCATTCTGATGGTAGTGGCTTTACCGAGTTATTCTGGGTTCACTAACTCTCCGGGTTAATAATTCGAATAAAATAACATCGCTTCTGAAAGGCTTGAAGAGGGTTTTATCTTGCTGACACTAACAACGCCCTTATATGTCATGTCAGAGATGACAGCACTCCTGCACTGTCCTCTGGTAAAACCATCCATCCTTCTTCCAGACTTTACGACACCGTCTTGGTGAACTGGCCTTCATACACATTCTTAACACGAATCTTAAGTCTTGGTTTTGCTTTTTTGTTTCTTTATACCTGCCTTTCTTAAAACACTTTGTGTTCTGATCTGACTTTTGCCCTCTCCTCACCTTTTCTTTTATGTTGTCTGTGATTTTCTTCACCTTTGTTATCTTCTTTCATCTTTCTTTTGCCTAGCATGAGCCAGTAGGCTTAATTCAGTGCTTTGCTTTCTTCATATTCCTTTGTGAGACGTGTGTTAAAAGGTCGTGTTACCATGACGCTCCAGCCACTTGATACGTATTTTTTTTCCGACTCAATATACTATTGTTAGTAATACTACCACCACCACCACTACCATTGCTACCACCACTATTATTACTACCACTTATCTTCTAATACTACTACTACTGACCTGCAGTCTGGAATTTTCGTGACCTGATCTGTCTTCTAACTTCCTCCTCCTACCTCTTTCCGACCTGTCTTCTTTGTTCTCCCCATTTTCTCGCTTAGTTGTGGCTTGATAATGGTCCAGGACGGACCGAAACGTCGTGTATAGTCTCTCAAAAGGATGTGCTATTTGTGAAATAACCTCTTAAAAGCCCTGGTAGTGCTCCTCCTTATGCTCTTACAGTGGATCTCCATAAAAATATTTGGCTTCCAGGTGTCTGCGATGGTTACACAAAGCTGCTGGGGCTTCTGCAATTGGAAATTAACGTTAGTGTGTATGCATGCAATGCTCAGAACATTCCTTTCTAACAACAATCATAACGAAGCGCTAAACCCACAAGGGTCATACAGTTCCTCCTAACAACGACCAACTCAAGTAAATTTCTGACCTAATACTCGGTCCATACTCGGGGCCTGCAATAAGACATCCTACGCGTTCACATTTTGACCGATGAATCTTAGCAACTCGATTTTAAAACCGACCAACAAAATACATATGTATGAGTTCTTGTCTGGCTGCCACTGCAGTACTTTGAATTTATCTTCTCCATGAATAATGCTGCCCCCACCGTAATTCTGGTTGCAGGTGGTAGGATTCCTATAATGGTTTATCGAACCTGAATGAAGACCACGTTCAGAAGATTGAATAGCTAGTTATTGTGAAAGGTTCGGTACATCAAGTGGACCATAATGATTCACGAAATAGTAATAACACGAATACAAACAAATCAGCTAACGGGTAGGGTCTGAACCCATGGCGAGCGAGTCGTAAAACTCACATGTGGATCATGACCTTGCAAGTCAGCTGCTCAGACTCAATGTTACGACTAGTGCTCCTCGCCAGCTGGTAGCTACCTACCCACTAGAAAACAGACTGCTAGTTGGTTTTCCCGATTTAAAGTCTGTCGCCCTCACGTGGGTCATTATTGGGTCTGAATCTTACCTGTACTCCCACTAATCAAAAATCCGTTAACCCTAAAATAGGGACTAAAGTAAAGGCTCACTATATAAACATTTAAAAAAAAAAACGTGACCAAAAACTGGCAATTTAATGGTGGAATTGAAGAATATATTTTAATCAGGGGGAAGTGCTGAACTTAAGGGATCATATAGCACCTAGGGATATTTGACGCACTCAGATTCAATCCAAGGAAGAGAAGGACGAGTCCAGTTCCTTGTATCAAGAGCCCCTCAGCGGCATCAAGGCACCAGATTGAAAGGCTGAAGAGTGCAAACATGACAGTTACTCCTCTACTGGCTCGTCAATCTTTGCCACTAGAGCAATTTTTTTTTAATTCCTTAAAACATTGTAATATTTCACTCACTGAATGCCAGATCTCTAGGAAGAACAAGATGATAATAAATAAAGAACAGGTGTCACATGAGAACACTTTGAAGTGTCCGTGCCAGAGGTGCTGGGAAGTTTGGCACTCTCGTATAGCGAAGTGTGCAACAGAGGCAGCAGCAGCAGCAGCAGCAGCAGTAACAACAGCAGAAACACGCGCAAGTTTGCTATCAAGACGGGAATATAACATTGGCACACACAAATATAAAGGGAACGGGAAGGAAATTATTAAAAATTCAGCGGATAGCAAAAATACGACTTTTTTTTTTTTTAATATCCATCTTAGAGACGGTCGATAACATCGGTCTGCTTAGTGTCATCACAGCTCCGAAAAAAACATCACAAACTCTCCGGTACAATATAGTAGCAATGTAATGCCCTCTGAAGTACAGATTGTCATAGGAAAATTTAAAGACTATAACCAAATGAAGGCATAAGTTTTCTCTATGGAATCTGAAAAAAAAAGTCCTGCAAGTAGCAGAGATAATCGTAGGGCAGAAAGTCTTTCAACGTCGCTACTTAATCTTTGTACAGTGTAAACAAACGAGAGCTGTAGTAACATTCGCTGTAGTTACGATTATATATCCTTTTATAAAACACTTAATATTGTAACTAGAATATCTTAACTACTTTAATTAGGTACTATTTAATGTTATATATATATATATATATATATATATATATATATATATATATATATATATATATATATATATATATATATATATATATATATATAGACGGTGGGACTCATCTGAAATATATGCTTCAATAACTTCATGAAATGTACAGTATAGATGCAGATATTTACTAGCTTATGAGTATAAGGTAACTGACTACAAAAATGCCTTTGTTACCGAACTGATAAAGGCGAGTCCCAAATGGAGGAGAGAAGGCTATATACCTGTAATACAGAAGTGCTAGGTAATGATTACTAGCTAGAAGTGTAGATGTAGGTGTGTGTGTGTGGTGTAGTATGTGTGTGTGTGTGTGTGTGTGTGTGTGTGTGTGTGTGTGTGTGTGTGTGTGTGTGTGTGTGTGTGTGTGTGTGTGTGTGTGTGTGTGTGCTGGGGCGCGCGCGCACATGAGTATGCAAGTACAATGTATGACGGAAATGTATTTCATTCTGCATATTATCAGCATTCATAAGTAAGAGTGAATGCTGAGGGAAAGGCTTAGAACTATACATTGTAAAATGTAACTCATTGTGTTTCTCGTCGAGAATGTGAAAATGTTTGAGGCTGTGTTATTCTCACTGAGAAGGACGCCGATGTCTGGGTCCACCTGGTGGTGCGGGGTGGACAGGGAGGGATGGACCAGGGCAGGGAGGGAGGGATGGACCAGGGCAGGGAGGGAAGGACCAGGGCAGGGAGGGAAGGACCAGGGCAGGGAGGGATGGATGGACCAGGGCAGGGAGGGATGGACCAGGGCAGGGAGGGATGGACCAGGGCAGGGAGGGATGGACCAGGGCAGGGAGGGAGGGATGGACCAGGGCAGGGAGGGAGGGATGGACCAGGGCAGGGAGGGATGGACCAGGGCAGGGAGGGAGGGATGGACCAGGGCAGGGAGGGATGGACCAGGGCAGGGAGGGAGGGGTGGACCAGGCAGGGAGGGATGGACCAGGCAGGGAGGGAGGGATGGACCAGGGCAGGGAGGGAGGGATGGACCAGAGCAGGGAGGGAGGGATGGACCAGAGCAGGGAGGGATGGACCAGGGCGGAGGGAGGGATGGACCAGGGCAGGGAGGGATGGGAGGACCAGGGCAGGGAGGGATGGACCAGGGCGGGAGGGAGGGATGGACCAGAGCAGGGAGGGATGGACCAGGGCAGGGAGGGAGGATGGACCAGGGCAGGGAGGGATGGACCAGGGCAGGGAGGGAGGGATGGACCAGGGCAGGGAGGGAGGATGGACCAGGGCAGGGAGGGATGGACCAGGGCAGGGAGGGAGGGATGGACCAGGGCAGGAGGGAGGGATGGACCAGAGCAGGAGGGATGGGCAGGCAGGGAGGATGGACCAGGGCAGGGAGGAGGGAAGGACCAGGGCAGGGAGGGATGGACCAGGCAGGAGGGAATGGACCAGGGCAGGGGGAGGGATGGGCCAGGGCAGGGAGGGATGGACCAGAGCAGGGAGGATGACCAGGCAGGGAGGGAGGGATGGACCAGGCAGGGAAGGATGGACCAGGGCAGGAGGAAAGGACCAGGGCAAGGGAGAATGGAAGGGACAGGGAGGAATACCAACAGAGGGAAGGACCACAAAAAAAAAGCCAAGCTTCAGATATGTACCAAGGGGGAATGAACAGAAGAAGAAATTCTGCTAGGAAGGAGAATGAAGTAATACTTGCACCAAAGGTCCCAATCTTTCTAGCATTATACATAATTAAACAGAAAAGTATTATTTTCCTGCTAGTCAAGATGAAGTTAATAATCACCAAATGTCCTCAATTCTTCTGTGCATTAACAGAACAGGACACAGAAAAGGGATCGTTTAGAACCTTTAACAACTTGAGGAATTTGTACAGTATTATGCACGTCAATACCATATAAATTAATTTCGAAAGGGAAACATTAATAGTACCACATATTAGTCTCGCTGGCTATGCTTTACACTGGAAAAATAATTCATCATGAGCTTAGTACTCAGTAAGGTTTGTGTGCATAGCGTGACAATCCGTATTCAGGGGGAGCCTATGTAATCCTTTCTACCTGTTTGGAGAATTGCAAAGGGGCACTGGGGAAGTGTGTCCAAGGGTAAGTTTCTACCAAGAACTGTCTGGTGTAAAGATACTTGTATTAGAGAAGACAAAAAATGAGAATTCTGCCAGAATTGAAGGCTGTTGTAACAACAACAAACACTCGAGGGAAGCTGTGGCAGCAGTAAATTACCCAGGAGCTGCATGTCTCTGGCTAAGTTATACAAATTCTCTGACGACTAAATAAATATATAAATGGCAAGAGCCACGGCATGCATTAAAAAAATATTCAGCAAATGCCTTTGTAAATAAAATCGCTTCAGAGACTTTCGATAAAAAACTTTCTGAATATATTATCAGACATACTTTCATACATTATATATGGTAATACCCGCTATACAATTTTTTGTAAGTCTGAAGCAAATACAGTTGTTAAAGGCATCAAGATTACACTTGTAAACTCTCCTATACAACAAATGAGTTAATATATACTCAAAGCTGTTTACAAGTCATAATAATGTCAGACTGTTGTTAGACATTATGCAGAGCGCCTCGCCTGCAGTGTCTTAGTGGGTTAAATTTTCACCTGATGTCAAAATTCCTTTCAACTTACGTCGAACTTTGTCTTGGATGGCGTCAACATTCCCTTCGGCTGAAGTCGACACTGTTCTCAGTTGATGTTGACCTCGGCTGAAGTTGACACTGTCCTCAGTTGATGTTGACCTCGGCTGAAGTTGACACTGTCCTCAGTTGATGTTGACCTCGGCTGAAGCTGACACTGTCCTCAGTTGATATTAAAGTTGACCTCGGCTGAAGTCTACACTGTCTTCAGTTGATGTTGATCTCGGCTGAAGTCTACACTGTCTTCAGTTGATGTTGATCTCGGCTGAAGTCTACACTGTCCTCAGTTTTACAAGTGGACAGAAAACATTCTTCCATCCCAGTCAAATGATTCTTACTAAGTTAGTGTTGAACATCTTGACAACACTTTTATTTCCGTTTCGTTTCTCTACCTCCCTTTTCCCTCTCATTGTCTCTCCAAGTTAAAAAATTCAGCTTTTCATTCACTTAGAACTTGTGACTATGAAAATGCATATAGCAAATTAATATCCAAACACGTTGGTGGATGAATAAATAAATATATACAAGCTTTCTTATAAGCCATAATTTTTAAACTGAAATATAGATTTTGGGTAGCAAATTTAAAACTTTCTGCATTCAGTGTCCGACACAGAGGAAGGTAATAAGGAGATGGGAGGGAAAGGGGGAGGAAAAATGCATAGAAACCCAGAATAAAAGTTATATTTTCTCTAGTATTGTCGCTGTTTCTGATACAGGTCGCTCGTGTGTTGCAATGAGAGAAGAGATAAATATCCTTCCTTCATGCTGATAATGATAGTCTGAGTAAGACTGCAGCGAGGGTAATCTTAGAGACGTAACGTGTTGACGTCAGGATCTTAAAAAAAGTTCGAGTGTTTGAAGATCACTTGTCGTAAGTATTGATAGCAGTCACACTCGGGAGGTTTATTTCAAGTTTGAATGTTGTGCTTTTGAAAAACACTTTCATACTGGCGAGCTTTGCATGCAACCTCTAACCCCTGGGGCCAGGTAAAGTAGGATTATGACCTCTCCTTTTCCTCCTTCCCCTGGGGTCACAGGTCGTGGAAGAACCAAGCATGTTGTCCATTATGGCCACTAAAGGGTCACGATCGCTAATATTTGTATTTCTCTGCATTCTGGGAAGTGGAGTTAAGCTAGATAAGAGCATCCCTCTTCCCAGGCGGCACTGTGTACTACAATCAATGAAATCTATACACATACAGTACACAGAATAGTAACTACACATACGTAAGGCCACATCACCGTGTTGTCCAGCAGTGTACGCTTCGACGTATCTTAACAACACCAAATGGTGTGCAGTAAGTTACTTTCCAATCCCAGCTGCTGATCTGGTTTTAACACCATGGTGCTATACGTCCGACATCATAAAACATTAATAATACTGGACACTATTGCAGGAAAAAAATCCACATCGTAAGTCTACATACATTGTCGGAAGCTCACACTAATGATAAAAACAGAGTAACATGGCCAATATAGCGGTCGTGGTTGTCACCCTCCTAGGCTCAGATTAGACAACAAACTTGGTTCTTCCAGCAGCTCAACGTGGACTATCCGTCAGGTACCCGAGGAGGTATTTCAGGAGGGTCGAGGAGATCAGAGACGCCATTTTCCAGGGACGCAGCAAGCTTCGACCACTTCGTCATATTTTTCAGCGCTCCATCCCTCATGGGCGCTATCTTCGGGTTCACCTTCGTCAGTCCCTGCAGGAAGTGGTGTTAGAACCTATGGCAAGGAACATTTTTTTATAACTGATGCTGCAATATTAAGTTTCTAATCTTTTCCCTTCAACTACGGTGAAAAAATGACAACGTCTCTACTGAACCCTCACATTTACTCAGGAAAAACACTAAACTACATAAAGACTACAAATACATATCAATTAAACAATATCATGGCTATCAAATTTATTAAACGGTTCCAGTCACATAAATTATTTACGAAAGATACTGATTAATATATTACATTTAAAGATACTAAAAGAGTTTTGATTTTGCTCTACATAAAAGATTTATCCAGAAACTTAAAAAAACATAGGAATGAAAGATCAATACTATAGTGGATGATAGATTTTCTGCTGAGAGGAAAATGTAGTGATAAGAGGAAAGATATCTTTATATGAAGATACCACCAGCAGGTATTCCACTTCAATGTTTGTCCTATTAATGTCTCGAATTTATACAAGTGTTTTGCGAGGAATAAATCTGTATGAAAGTGTAGATTAATTAAATATTTTATGAAAAATAAATAATACAAATGATTGTAAATCCTTCACGAAGACTTGGATGAACTGAGTAAAGCGTGAGAGATGGATGATCGAATTTAATGCAGATAAAATCCAAGAAATAACTGGTAAATGGTGATAAAAAGACCATTAGAAAAATAAAGTATGATAAAATATTAAAAGCTTCGTTCAATATTTATTTTGAATAATTAGGCATACGTGCAACATCGTAGTCCTGAAGACTAATGTGCTCTTCAACTCCAAGGCTGAGGGACTGATTACCTCATCTTTTGTATATAGTTCGACTGTTTTCCAACTGCGTCATTGAATTTGTATTAATAAAGTCACTGGATGGCGAAATGTTTACAATAAAAATACCCAGATGTTGCATATGTGTCTAATTCTTCATTTGATCGGTATTGCATACCATGCATCCAAAATATTTATTTTAGCTGCTCGAGAGAACTCAGTCATTTACATATTTCTTATTTTATAGTTAGGATGTCTATACCCAAAACCCCAAAAAACAATCTACCCTCCTTCCTACACCCCCCAAAAAACATACATCTCCCTCGCAAAATTCACTTAATATTGAAGAATTAGTCACTTCTGCAACATTTGGGAATTTTTATTGCGGAAGCGTTTCGCCAGCAAGTGGCTTCGTCAGTCCAGTACAGTGATGAATGGTGGAAGGTGAGGAGTTTGAGGTAATCAGTCCCTCAGCCTGGCGTCGATGTGTTCAGTCCATCAATCCAGGCTGAGGGACTGATTACCTGAAACTTCTTCTCATCTTCCACCATTCATACCTGTACCAGACTGGGGAAATCACTTGTTGGCAAAATGTTTCCACACTAAAGATTCCCAAATGTTCTCAAAGTGTCCAATTCTTCAAGTTGTCGGTTCTGTAAACTATTTACACTACATAATATATATTTGTAGACTTTAAAATATAAATTATCACTGAGCTCTTCCGAGTAACTTTAGTAAACATTGACCTCAGCTTCAAAGAGGAGGAACTAGGAGTCATAAATGACAAACTATTTTCACAGAAAGATCATATAAAGAAAAACTTGCAAAACTCATAGCTCTGGTTCCTTAGATTAAGAGCCTCCCCATCAACCTCAGATATAAACTCTCTCAAATATAAATAAAGTTTGAGGTCAATATGTCTGGTCTTTTAGCTGGAGCTAAAATTTCTCCAGCACAGCTACATACATGAACAGCTAAGATCTGCAATTCATGAAGTATAACAGGCCAGGAGCTGGAACTCGACTCTTTCAAATGCTTTGATGGCGATTGGAAAAGGCTTTCTTAAAACAGTTAACAATGAAAATTATATGATGATGTGAGGATGAACCATGCAGACACTGATGCAGCTCGAGAGACGAAAAAGTTAAGAAAATTTTGATATATTTTTGTTTGCTCTTAGGATAACCAATGAGTGGAACAGACTAGATGAGAAGCTGATGAAGGACAAAGCCATACATAGTTTTCTAAGAGTATAATATGATAGGCTCTAAAATCCAGGAATGAGTCAATCCAGTAATTAGCATTTAATAGGCTGTGAATCGACACTCGAAAATTCAACCGAGGGAATACACATATATAACTATTTCTTCCCTTCCCTACGCACCTCGAAAAGCGGGAGACAAATATCCTTGATCCAGCGCATTTGCAGTAGAGGCAGCTCGTGTTTGCGGTCCCTGTCCATGAGTGCTGCCGGAGTGATCTTCAGCTTGCTCTTCTCCAAGTCACCCTGGTCGAAGAACTCTGAAGTCACCAGCTTGGCCACCCTGGGGACACCGGAAACACAGTTAATTAACCACTTCGGTCACCAAATCTAATTCTAATCTGTCCTACTTCAGATATTAATTTGTTTTTCTGAAGTACTATTTCTTGATAATCATATTTTCCTTCTTTAATCTAGGTGTTTCTGTTCATATTCTTTTTTCTTACCACTTAATATTAGCAACGCTAATTACTTACAACAGAACATGAATGATGTTTCTAAGTAGGTCAAGATAAGTTTATGTTGAGAATTTTTTTCTCTTTTCTCACAAGTAATGTCGAGTAGTGACGGTTTTCTGCCTTCTCTTAGTCCTCTTGCTGCTTGTGTGTTAATGTATGTATTCAGTAGAATAACAAAAGTTATGCTACTGAGGAATTAAGTTGAACATTTGTTTACCATTATGGCCTCATAAGATCTCTAACACACTGCTTAATGCTCGAAACTTCATATTTCACTGACTTACCTATTCATAAAAAAAGGCTCTTTTAATTCGTAGTCATGTTGTTGTTGACCTTTTAGCTCAAAATAAGGCCAACTCTGCCAGGCACTTATCACTCACTTGAACTGTATGTCCCAGGGCTTGGTGGAGGCAGCAACATCACAGGCAGTCATGAGAAGTGACCGGAGGAGGTCCCGGTGATCCTTGATGGCCGAGTCAAACTGCCCGTCGGCTACCAGCGGGAAGAATTGCGAGCGCAACCTACAGAAGAGGGAGGCGAAAGATGCTGTACCGGGAAGAAATAGGAATCCAGCCTGGGGGAAAGGAGGGAGGTGAAAGATGCTACAACACTACGGACAGGTGCTAAGTTACGGGCAGTAGTGATGTGTCAAAGGTTTCAAGTCGTAGGGTGTGCCAGAGGGTACACTGAGGGCCATTGAACGATAGGAATGGCAAAACAGGGAATGTTGCTGATAGATGGGTAATGTGTACGAGGAGACAAGTGGGCTGCAGGAATATCTGCTTATTTGAAAAATATGTTGGGAAAAAGTACAAGGTACTAGCGATTATAAGAGTCTATCACAACAATGAGCGATTTTCAACACAATTTCCTGTATGGATTTTGTAAATTTTACTTCAGATATTATAAAAAGGATATCCAGATTTGGTACTCACTGGAAGTAGACGGAGAGGTCGGTAGCCAAGATAGAGAGTTTGAGAACATTCATGACTTTAGAGTACTGTGACGAGGACAAGTTGCTGAAGATGTTGTGTCCCTGTAAGGACGGAGAGTTAAGTCAGGTTGTGTAATTATAGGCAAGTTAATATCCTGACAGACGTGGGAATAAGAAACATATACAAAAATCCAGACATTTGTTGAATGGTTAGGACTGATTCAGCCACTTATGGCAAAACGTCTCCCATGAACAGGTTGATTGCATGTGTGTTTTAGTCTCACTCAGGTAAGTCATGTCACAGTAAAGTGCAGATGTTCAGTTCCCTTCGATGCTTTTTTTTTCTGGGAGTGTTTGTCAGGGATTGCGAGGGAACTGGACTTACCCTCTCCTTCCTTGGGTCAAACCTGAATGCCTCCTATTCCCCAAGTGCTGCTATATGACCCTCAGAGTTTAACGCTTCCTAGCTGATTTAAATCAATGCTGGGGATGGGATTTAAAGTATAAATATACAGGTAACATACACCATAATCAAAATCTCTCTCTCTCTCTCTCTCACCTCAGAGTTGAGTATCATGACGGCGTGGTTGAAGTGGTGTTGTTCCATGGTGTTTTGCGTGCCATACAGCAGTGCTAGGGCTGACCCCGTCCTGCATGCAGCACAGAATTGAACAATACAATAAGACGATCATAACAACAATAAGGGAAAGTAAGACAATGACTGCAGACGAATCTTTAGTGTACAACGTTTTATCATAAATCGTATTTGACAAAGCTAATTGGTGGTGAAGAATTGTTCAGTAAACACTCGTCTGTGATATCTGATTCACCAGACTGTGAGCGCTACGCCACCTTTCTGATGATTATGTTAAAGGTGGTGGTGGCAGTGGCAATAATTATGATAGTTATTTAGATAGTGGTTGTGATAGTAATGATAATGGTTATGGTGGTCATTAAAATAGTGGTGCTGGTGATATGGAATATGGTATGATAGATCAAAACATAATGATAATGATGATGCTAATAATAATGATGATGCTAATAATAATGAGAGTAACGACAATGAAGATGATTGCACCGATGGTAGTGCAGTGGCACTAATGGTGATGGTGAGTCATGACAGTGATGGTAATGATGAATATAGCACTAATGGTGACGGCGTGTGGTGACAGTGATGGTAATGGCGAATGGTGGTATTAATGGTGATGGCAATTGGTGCCATTAATGGTGATGGTGGGTGGTGGCAGTGATGGTAATGGCGAATGGTGGAACTAATGGTGATGGCAGTGATGGTGATGGCGAATGGTGCCACTAATGGTGATGGCAGTGATGGTGATGACAATGAAGGTGGTGGCAGTGATGATGGCACTGAAGGTGGTGGTAGTGATGGTGATGGCACTGAAGGTGGCAGTGATAGTGATGGCACTGAAGGTGGTGGCAGTGATGGTGATGACAATGAAGGTGGTGGCAGTGATGGTGATGGCACTGAAGGTGGTGGTAGTGATGGTGATGCCACTGAAGGTTGTGGCAGTGATGGTGATGGCACTGAAGGTGATGGCAGTGATGGTGATGGCACTGAAGGTGGTGGTAGTGATGGTGATGGCACTGAAGGTGGTGGCATTGATAGTGATGGCACTGAAGGTGGTGGCAGTGATGGTGATGGCACTGAAGGTGGTGGCAGTGATGGTGATGGCACTGAAGGTGATGGCAGTGATGGTGATGGCACTGAAGGTGGTGGCAGTGATGGTGATGGTACTGAAGGTGGTGGCAGTGATGGTGATGACGCTGAAGATGATGGCAGTGATGGGATGACACTGAAGGTGGTGGCAGTGATGGTGATGGCACTGAAGGATGTGGCAGTGATGGCACTGATGGCACTGATGGCACTGATGGTGGTAACAGAGATGGTGATGGCATTGAAGGTGGTGGCAGTGATGGTGATAGTACAGAAGGTGGTGGCAGTGATGGTGATGACACTGAAGGTGGTGGCAGTGATGGTGATGGCACTGAAGGTGGTGGCAGTAATAGAGATGGCACTGAAGGTGATGCCAGGTGTCAGCCAAACTCACTTCTCCTGGAAGGAGTTGTTGGTGCCGCGGTGGTCAAGGTCGTGACACAAACAGCCCACGAACATTGCCAGGTACTCCAGGTCCTCAAACATTGCCATCATGTCGCATGTCTGCCGGAGTAGCAGTTGCCATAATGTGTTAGCTGCAATAAAGTGCTAACCGCTCACATAAGAGGTCCAGGGACATATATTTACACCGAAAACTGTACTGTACCTCTCAAGATTATTATATACGATGAGTTGATTTTAATTACTATTTTAAGAATTAAAATTTTCTTGACTGGCGGTGTACAGGCGATATGAATGGCTAAAACAATATTATTATAACAGTTTCCATCAAAGAGAGCTTCATCAACTGATAAATCTTTTCTTGAACAAAATGTTGCAAAAAATACAGTCTTACTCTCATATATGTTATGTAGGTGTGAGTGTGCTGCCTCTTGTATGTATAGTAAATGTGCAGCCTTAACGACCACTGTGTGGTCCACAGGCTTGACATCAATAAACTAACCACAAGAGATTGTTGCTTGGAAGCTTCTCTCATTTCTATAATAAACACACACACAAAGCAGGAAGATATGGAAACACTGCCACTATACCACATATGATGGGCAGTCAAGCCTCACACTGCCCACCAGACAAGGTAGTCAGCGCCACTGTACCTCACTGTTACTCAGGGTTTCCACAACTAGTATAATCTCGTGTATTTTTACTCTTTGAACATTTGCAGTGACCAAGGTTCTAAGGACCAAAAAAAAAAACAAAAAACAATTAAACATGTTCTAGAGTGATTGCATTTTGTGTGTCTGTTACTACTCGTCAATTTGTATATTTTTATATCCAGTATATTTGGGCTGGGATAGACACCAGGTCCTTCAGATGGGTGATGAAAATGCCATCATTTGAGCGACGAGCCTTGAAGTGTTGAGTTGTGTTACTTATGTATTACAGAAGTGTGCTGTCATACGGTGACCTTGGAAAAGTATTAGATGGTACAGTGTGCATTAGCACTCATGAGGCACATACAGTAGCTGCTCTAAAGTTGGATTTCACTAACTGATTTCAATAAATTTCTTGGAGATGAACAAACCCATGACACTAGAAATTTTAAATCACTACAGCTTGCTGATTAAAAAAGATTAAACTTTATTCTTTTATAATATGGCCTACAACCCCTGAGACTATGTAAATAGTCCCCCATACCTATCTACCTCCCTCCTTCTCGCTCGCTCTCTCTCTCTCTATCTCCCCCTCACCCTCTCCCTCACACCCCTATCTCCCTCACCCTCTCTGCTTCACTCTCTCGCCCTTCACATCCCTCCCCTCTGCCCTCTTACCTTGAGTAAGGCGAACATGTTGTGGGCAACATTGAAGGCGTGGCGCCAGTTGTGGTAAGGTACGTTCCTATAATTTCTCTTGACCGTGATGAGCCAGCGTAGCAGCGTCTATACACACACAGGTACATGTTATTACGTCTGTACACACACAGGTATATATTATCACGTCTGTACCCACACAGGTGCATGTTATCACGTCTATACACACACAGGTATATGTTATCACGTCTGTATACACACACAGGTACATGTTATCACGTCTGTATACACACACAGGGACATGTTATCACGTCTGTATACATATACAGGTACATGTTATCACGTCTGTACACACAGATACATTTTATCACTTTTACATACACAAACACACACGCGTGCAGCTAGGAGCTGTGAATCGACCCCTGCAACCACAAACAGGCGAGTACAGGTAAGTACATGCACAGACATGGAGGAACACGTTATCCACACTCATCTTGCCGCTCCCTACATTCTTACTCTTTATTATATATAAACATAATACAGCTGCATCACAGCATACACCATCACTGTAGTTATATATTCAGTGCTACATCACAGTCGTCACCTATTCTGCCAAAAATGCTGTGTATAATTAAGCTTTCTTTTCAACTACGTAAACTGTTAACTAGTTTGCTGCGATATCCTGGTATGGTTACAAATATTATCATTATGTACTCTACCTTGTATAGTACACTGCTGTAGCCTACCGTGTACAGTACATTGTGCTGTAGCATACCTTGTACTCGATCTTGAACCTGGAGGTGAGTCTGAGGTCTGAGAACATCCTGACGGCCGCCAAGACCATCTGGTCTTGACTGAGGGAGAAATCATCGAAGGTCAGACTACCCAAGTGCCACTTGTTGGCCTCTGGCACCACCTCCCGCTGTAGGGAGAGAAAGGCAATGAGAGGAGTGAGGGAGCTATGCATGTAGTGAGAGATATAGGAAGTGAATAAAGTGATGCAGAGACAGTGTTACTGTTTACAGGCAGTGTGAAGGATAAGGAAGAGAGGGAGGTAGGGTGGTGAAGCAAGGGAGAGAGGGAGGTAGAGTGGTGAGGTAAGAGACTGAGGGAGGTAGAGTGGTGAGGTAAGAGACAGAGGAAGGTAGAGTGGTGAGGCAAGGGAGAGAGGGAGGTAGAGTGGTGAGGCAAGGGAGATAGGGAGGAAGAGTGGTGAGGCAAGGGAGAGAGGGAGGTAGAGTGGTGAGGCAAGGGAGAGAGGGAGGTAGAGTGGTGAGGCAAGGGAGAGAGGGAGGTAGAGTGGTGAGGCAAGGGAGAGAGGGAGGTAGAGTGGTGAGGCAAGGGAGAGAGGGAGGTAGAGTGGTGAGGCAAGGGAGAGAGGGAGGTAGAGTGGTGAGGCAAGGGAGAGAGGGAGGTAGAGTGGTGAGGCAAGGGAGAGAGGTAGAGTGGTGAGGCAAGGGAGAGAGGGAGGTAGAGTGGTGAGGCAAGGGAGAGAGGGAGGTAGAGTGGTGAGGCAAGGGAGAGAGGGAGGTAGAGTGGCGAGGCAAGGGAGAGAGGGAGGTAGAGTGGCGAGGCAAGGGAGAGAGGGAGGTAGAGTGGTGAGGTGTTAAAGGTGCAGAGGTACTTTATCACCCACAGGGATAATAAAACATCTAAACTACAGAGAACTACTGCAAGAACTTGGAATGTAATCTGTGAAATGGAGAAAAGATACCTGATAAAATAAAGTTGGAAAATAATCGAGGTTCCGGTCCTCACACTGTCTGAAGACGATACATCAGACTCTTACTATTATACCTCGGTTCCACTCTTTACCTACCATATTTCTACTACATGAACAATGAGTGATAAGAAAATATATCTAGTGTTCAACTAAAATATTTGAGAACTCAAATATTTCAAACAGGAATTTCCCCCACGAGAGGTGAGATCAGCAGATATCTTACAACCTTGCTAGCGATGACACCTCAAAACTCTAATGCTATCTTTATCTTTTTATCTTTAATATGTATACATTGCCTTTCGTGTTGTACATGAATGGTATCCAATACTATCATGTCCTTCAATTTATACTGATATAGCCAATGGATGGCGAAACATCTACGAATAAAGATACCCAGATGTTGCACAAGAGTTGTATTCTTCATTACCTTTCGTGTATTTAGGTCAGAGTAAACTTGCTCAATTTTCACCTTCTGAAAATCAAGGCCGAATCCGCGAGGCATTTATGTACCAAAATGATAAGGTGCGGCACCTCGTGTTTATTAAGGTAATGAAGTTTAATCCAAGGGATGATAACTAATTCCTTGGTTTAAGAGCCTTTCACTAGCACAAAAGAATGTCATTGACGGCATAAAGTTACAATCTTACCTGCATCTTCTGCACGTCCTCTACTGACGCCGTGGCGTGGTACGAGAGAACCTGTAGGCACCAGTAATAAGAATAATGATTATGACGATAATGAGAGTACACTTCAGGAGAGATCACAACTGATGAAAAGTCATGAGGATAATGACATTAATGACGTTGATAAAATATAAACGGAATAATAATAATTATTAGTAAAAAAATAGGCTATATTATTTTGCTATTCACCTTTATTAAAAATACTAGAAAGATCATTACTGTTATTATGAATTTTACTATTTATATAAAACAAATATACAAAAAATCTTACTAATTTACTTGAAAACAGTCACTTAAAACATATTTAAACTCAAAGGAAACTAATACATTGTGTTACTAAGACAGATCTTACAAACTGCTCACCTCAATGGCAACCTTCTGCCTGGCCATGGCTTTCTCCAGTTCGTTGTACATGAGTGTGTTGTTGATGCCCAGCCCACAGAAGATGGTGAAGGCCTGTGGTGGGAGGGAGGCGATGAAATAGAGGTTAGTAGTACTGGAGGCACAGGAGGAATGTAAAGAAGCCAGCCAGGGTAATGTTGGCAGTACTGGAGGAAGTTAATAGACTAACTTGTTAACATTGGTAGTACTAGGGGAAGTTATTAGGCTAACTTAGTTAACATTGGTAATACTGGAGGAAGTTAATAGGCTAATTTGGTTAATGTTGTTAGTTATTACGAACACAGGATAACTGCTCTTTTAGTTTGTACAATTAATGAACTCATAAAAAAGAGAGGAATATTTGCATATAAGAGTGGCAGGATCACAAAAACAATCAACATTATGATGGCACATCAATATGTCAAGAATACTTGTTCTTAAGAGAAATTAAGGGAAAGAAGGTAAAAATATTTTGGATTTTTTAAAAAATACTCCTATTTCAATTAAATTTTTATTGTGAGTTAAGATGGAGCCTGAGGAAAAAAATGTTTTGTTTGGAGGTCATCACCTAAAAAGGGCATGAGATCGATTTCGAAATATATAAGACAACTTTTTTCCTCTGTCTCCATGTACGTTGGTTCATATTAATAAATATTGTGTTTTGGTATTATGACAGTCATATTTACGACTAAACAGAAAATATAAAATATCTTACTTTAAGCTCGAATACAACTCTAAAAATGTTCTACTATCAGAGATAGGCTTCACACTTTTTTTTAGTAATAATCAAAGACAATTTCAACTAATTACTTTCTCAAGACAGGTTTTAGTTAACATACCTCAAATAGCTGCTCATCATTCTCGTCAAAGGGCTGCCCATTGAGTTTGTTGATGATCTTGGCCACACCTGAGGAAGAGCACAAGATGACGTCTACACAGTAAATTCCTTAGTTCTCTGACCCACATTAACACTGTCTCTCTCTTTCGAGAGAGATAGTGGTATTCATAGTATGGTTGTGAAGCTTCACATACAATCATATGCTAACACATCCTATATCTTTCAATCACTAAGATGCCTCACAGGTGAGAGGGAATCGAGCCGAGCCATCATATGGCTCGGTTCGATTCCCTGGAACAGAGAAACATGGGCAAGTTTCCACACACCTCTGCTCCTCCTGCCCACTTAGTAATAAAAATAGGTAATTGTGAGTCACTTGACTGCTGTGCGTCATATCCAGTTAAAAATGTATTAGAGAACTCCACTAAGGGCTCTGGTGGCCTGGTGGTTAACGCTCTCGCTTCACACGGTGAGGGCCTGGGTTCGTTTCCCAGCCAGAGTAGAAACATTGGACGTGTTTCTTTCCACCTGTTGTCTATGTTCCCCATCAGTAAAATGGGTACCTGGGTGTTAGTCGACTGGTGTGGGTCGCATCCTGGGACACTGACCTAAGGAGGCCTGGTCACAGACCGGGCCGCGGGGGCGTTGACCCCCGGAACTCTCTCCAGGTAAACTCCAGGTATCTCTAGCAGGTACTAGAGAATCTCTAGTACCTGCTGGAAGTATTCTGGTACTGGCTACATGGAGTCCGTGTACCTAATGACGGCAATTTAATGAAAGTAGCTCCAGTTTATCACACTCAGCTACATCACGCCTTCATCTCCCTCTTCTTTTTCGCTGTCCTTCATCTTTAAACTTACCCCCACCACCTTACCCCCTCCCCTATCCATCAACTTTCTCCCGTCCATCCACACATTCACCTCCCCTCATCCATTAAAATATCCATCTTGCCGTCATTCACTCACCTACGTACGATCTGAACGTTCTTGTTCCTGAGGGGCTTGGCTAGCAAGCTCGCCTATGATCTGGAAGTTCCTGTTGGGCACGGCTAGCACACTCACCTATGATCTGCAAGTTCCTGTTTCTGATGGGCACGGCTAGCACACTCGCCTATAATCTGTAAGTTTGATCCTGATGTGCACGGCTGGCACACACACCTATAATCTAAAAGTTTGTTTCTGATAGGCACGGCTAGCACACTCACCCATAATCTGAAAGTTTCTATTCCTGATGGGCAGGGCTAGCACACTTACCTATAATCTGGAAGTTTCTGTTCCTGATGGGCATGGCCAGCATAGAGCGGACGTTACCAGCGCTGCCCTTCTCCACCTCCAGACTGTCAGCTATATTGAGGTTCTCGCCCGTGGAGGCTACTTGCTGTGCTAGGTGAAGCAGGTGCTTGGCCAGCTCACTAGAACCCACCTCCTTGGCGCTTCGAAACAAGTGAAAACAAGTAGAAAACCAAGTTAAAAGTGAAAAACAAACGCGATATTTTGTTTTATTATTATTATTACTATTATTATTATTATTATGGAGGCTCAATTCTCCATCATCTAATAAACAGACACTACTCTAACAGCTTTTCCTTGACAGCTGGCGTGAGGTTATGATGATTAGACAACCACTAACAGTTTGACTGTCGGCAAGGCTCGCGATTAGCAGACGGTGGATAGAGCCTCCACTACCACTTGCGTTGAATGACCCACAAGGATTTTGCGCTTCGCTTCAATTAAAAGCAGAGGTACACGCTGCCGCACATTTGCTAAAAAGCATTTATTGTTGTGTTTCTTGTAAAAGTCTGGATAATGACCCAGACGGGACGTTCAGTACATGGGGTATGGGAGGTACTGAGGCTTGACCCAAGGAAGGGGAAGTCAGATCCAATTCCTTGGATTATGAGCCCTTGAAGAGGATGAAGGAACCTTCCTTTTGAGGTATTATATTTACTAAGCACTAAGTCTTCGGTTGTTCAGCACTTTAAACATTCTTTTTCTAACATTAAGTTTATACTATCAACTTGATAGTATCAACATTAACTCACTCATGTTACATCAATCTGAATCACAAAACAAGTAAAACTATTCAAAGTACTTTTTTCACATTCAGTAAGTCGTGTTCGTAACTGACTGCGTCACTGATCGTAACTGTCAGCAAATATAAAAGAAAGGGGAAATATCCTCACCCTTTATGCGGAAAGATGCGGGCTTTTAGTCTGGCAAGCACTCGCTGAGAAGACTGGCGCCACGAGGATTTGAACGCGGTGATTTCACAACTAGTGCCTCTTGTGACTTGGTTGTTATCAGCCAACAACTGTGACGCTTCTGTCTCACCACAAACCCCCTACAACTTTCAAGACCAATACTGTTGGTAATACTGACTTCAACAAACACTGTTGACAGTCCTCGCTTCAACGAACACTGTTGCCAGTACTCCAACAAGCACTGTTGGTAGTACTCCAACAAACACTGTTGGTAGTACTTCAACAAACACTGCTGATAGTACTCACTTCAACAAACACTGTTGACAGTACTCCAACAAACACTGTTGGTAGTACTTCAACAAACACTGTTGACAGTACTCACTTCAACGAACACTGTCGCCAGTACTCCAACAAACACTGTTGGTAGTACTTCAACAAACACTGTTGACAGTACTCACTTCAACAAACACTGTTGCCAGTACTCCAATAAACATTGTTGGTAGTACTCACTTAAACTGTGGAAATTTTTTGTACTTTCCTAAATTCAGCATGTGTAAATTTGAATAGCACAATAATTGTGTAATAAAATGTGATGCTGATTCGACTCTTTCGAGAAATTTCGAAGGGGGGGGGGGGTTGTAGAACAGCTGGTGAGTGACACAGACGAGGAGACACCAAAATGAATTTAATGTATGAACACTGGTCAGAATTGTGCAATGTAATCAGGCGTTTTCGAAGGTCAATTAGTGTATATTGGCCTCAATTTGTAATATAGAAATTGCTGACACGTTCCTGCTGAAGAATTGGAATAGTGTGGAAAACCCTTACAATTCGGCAACAAGGACGGAAAAATGGAGGACTCCGATTTTCCCAGCAGCACACCTTAGCTTAGTGATGCTTACCCATTGTATACAGTAGTTTTTGCATTGGCCATCGTAAATTCTAGCTGTTGGGGTAACGACAGGGTGTGTTCCATCAGCATTAAGTGTCTTCCTGTGACAAATGGTAAGTTAATGTGTATAAAGTTTATTGATCAAATAATAATTCATAAAAATCCATAGGTCACTGGTTCGTATCTAGTTTGAAGGACCAAAGGCTTTTGTGAATTATGTAAGCAAATTACCTGCATGAGGTTTACAAGGTATTACCTATTACCTTAATTATTACAGGCAAGTAATTTGGGTGAGATAAGTGGGACTTAAGTCACAGTAGTCTGCAGGATTGTAACTCCTCAATGCCCACTTCATCACCACTCACATAAAAAGCTTGACCTGACATTAAATTAATAATTACAATATTAAACATTGATACCAATAATGGTAAATTTTAAAATAATGTGGACTGTATATGATTAGGCTTGCTGGGTACACAAAAGAAGTTCACATTACCACTTACCATTTAATTACTGTAGATGGATCACATCACAACACCTGCCTGACACCTAGACCCTACACTGGCCAGTTAGAGATCTAAATGAACGGACTAATGGCGTACTTCCCTGTGAGTGATGGTCATATCCCTTATTTTCTGCCATCTACACATAATTCTTCAGGTCCTGCAAATTTCCTGTCCCAATTCTTCAGCCGGACATTAACAAGGGTTCCTATTACAAATTCAGGCAGAAACCCCCCCAATCTGGCTAGAGGACGCCATTTGTAATTTGTAGGCACTGGTTGTCGTGGAAAATTCAGGTAATAATTCGGCATCTTTCGAGCCAAACTGGGGGGAATTTCGGCCTGAATTTGTAATAGGAACACATATCAATGATCCTTGCTGAAGAGTTGAGCTAGGAAATTTGTGGGACATCAAGAATTACCTGTGGATGGTGGAATATAAGGGCTATGACCATCACTCACAGGGAAGTGCACCATTAGTCCTTTCATTAAGATCTCTAACTGGCCAGTGTAGGGTCTAGGTGTCAGGCAAGTGTTGTGGTGTGATCCATCTACAGTAATTAAATGGTAAATGGTAATACAAATTTCTTTTGTGTACCCAGCAAGCCTAATCATATACAGTCCACATTATTTTATAATTTACCATTATTGGTATTAATGTTTAACACTGTACTTATTATTTTAATGTCAGGTCTAGCTTTTTGTGTGAGTGGTGATGAAGTGAGCATCAAGAGAGTTACAGTCCTGCAACCTACTATGACTTAAATCCACTTATCTTACCAAATTACTTGCCTGTAATAATTCAGGTAATACCCTGTAAACCTCATGCAGGTAATTTGCTCACATAATAATAATTCACATAAACACTGTTGGTAGTACTCACTTTAACCAACACTGTTGGTAGCACTCATTTCAGCATTGTTGGTAATATTCACTTCAACCAACAGTTGACAGTATTCACCTTAACCAACACAAGTTGTATACTGCTTAGCAGAGTTAACATTTTCAAGAACTCTCAAACCACTGCAAGGAATGAAACTCCTGAGTTTATCATTTTCAATTATAGTGAGCTGGGTCACAAACGTCAGCCTACTCGTCTAAAAAGAATGGTTAAGAATGTAGGTAGATGTTATGATGATGTTAATTCACAAAACCACACTCACTATTACCATGACCATCATACAAGATTACCACCACCACTAGAACACCAACACATAACCCGCAGCATCACCTCTACACTCACCATCACTACTACCACAGATACAATCAGAGCAACTTACTTGTTTGTCGACTGGCCGGACACTGGACAATTCAACTCGAATATCTTGGAAAACTTGACATTTTGCTTCTGAAAAAAAAGAAAAAAATGAGGTACCTATTAATAATTTTCAATATGAGGTTGAGCAATCCCCTTATCACCGAATATTAGCCTGGCGTCAAGGATGAGAAGATTGGAGGGGCGGCGGGGGAAGAGGTGAGGTGAAGCTTGAGATAGGATGAAAGGTGGAAGCACAGAGGAAGTAAAGGTAAGCATTGCGGAGAAGATTGTGGAGGTAGAGATGGGATGTGGTTAAGCATATGTGTGGTAGTTGTAATTATGATGGCGATTGTTATGTAGTGTTATATGGTGTATGATGTGGGTTGTGGCAGCTGGTGGTGGTGATGGGCTGAGGAGTGGGAGTAGGGCAGATATGGTTGGTAGTTGGGTAGGGAAGTATTGGTTGTTGAAAGGTTGAGAGAAGGTGGGTGGGGTAAAGGAAGAGACAATATGGGAGTGGCATTGAAATAATCAGGAGGAAGCGCTAAACCCGTATGGATCATACGGGGAATGGGAGGCAATCAGGCTCGATCTAAGGAAGGAGAGGATAAATTCACTCCTTTGATCAAGAACCCCTCGCCGGCATCAAAGCACTTCTCTTATTGGGAACTTATAGACTGGGAAGAAGTGAGAGAAGGGAGTGTTAGGATAGAGATGGAAAGTGGAGTTGTGGTAGGGCACAGAGTGGAATGAGGTCGGGGATGTGGTATAGTGGGGTTTAATGGTGGAAGGGTAAGGAAGGCTGGAGGTATGGTGTGAATGGGGAAATGAGTGAGGGATAACTACGCCATGCATGTATCAGATGGGAGAGTCTAGTGGAGTCAGCGTAGCATCAGGGGGTTCAAGTGCTTTCAGGATTGTAACATGCAGAGTATCCTAACATTGGAATTAACATCAACAATCACATCATCATAATGATACGTGTGATGCCCAAAATTTAGCTACTGCTATATAACTCAAAATATATTGCCAAAAATAACTGAGTTAATCTTCATTAGAACATCGACGCTCTATGGTTGATAATTTAGTTTACAAATTTAGTTTACAATATCATGGTAATTCGTAACCTTAATTTGGCAGGTGTACAAACCGTATCTCTGGGCAAGGGCATATTGTGGCTAAGAAATACGAGCGAATAAATTACAAGTAACAACATATTCGAGCAGGCGCGAGCAACCAGTATAGTCATCAAGCACTATCCAACATGCAATATCCAACATGCAATATAGTCATACTGCAAACATACACACAGTCTGTGACAAACACTGAAGAACCTCTACATTACCTTCCCTCATTTTCTATGACCGACGTCAGATCACAAAACTCTTCGTGTATCAACCAAAGCTTAATAATAACCAAAGCTTAAAATTATTAAACTAAAATTCAAGAAACCCAAAAAGTACAAGAACTTTGAAGGCACAAACTCAAACACTCATTACGTGAAACCACCAACCTACCTGCTGAAACCCCCTTTCATATCAGTAATGAAAATTACCTTGGAACCGCTTTTCTCAGTCAGCAACATAATTTTACGCACAAGAAGCATCATTACACTGAAGTTTTCTTTCCGGCGTCAAAGCAAGCCAAAACACGTACGTGACCACCACAAGCAAACGTCGAACGACAGGAGGGAAATAGTGTCTTCGACATCATGCTGTGAATTCTGCTGCTTTGATGTACAGTGTCTTCGTTTGGGAACATCTCGAGAGGGAAATTCTTTTACCACTAATGGCGCTGCTAGTTTGTACTAGGGTTAATGGAGGTTGTACTAGGTTAAAATAAAGGGAAGTACTGATTTGAACAGTAGGGGGGGAGTTGTATTAGGTTGAAATAAAGGGATGGATCAGGTTAAGCTATTGGTTTTGTACTGGGTTAAACAGGGACACTAATATTGAATTGAATAAAGTTGTACCAGTTTTTTTTTTACTGGGTTTCAAAAGGAATTTATCCTAGATTTTACTTCAGACGTATGTACTTGGTTTTTACACATACCGTTGAAATATGAACGTGTACTAGGTTATACAAGAAAATTTGTGCTATGGGTTTGTATTAGATGGTACCAGGGGGTTTGTTCTAAGAATGGATATGTTGGGCATGTCGAGCTATAGCGATATGGATTAATTTATTTCCATGTCAGATTATGTTGTTAGGTATTAAGTACAGTGCGATATGGGTGGCTGTGGCGCTAAGGATGTGTATAGTGTATACAACGTTAAGCTGAGTAGCACTGGAAAAGTATGAATACTGCGCCATTTACGTAAGTATCGATATAGAACAGGCAGACTAGACTTATTCTGCAAGTATCGACATGAAGACTAGGCTTGCTCTGCAAGTATCGACATGAAGACTAGCCTTATTCTGCAAACATCGACATGCCAAACTAGCCAAGCTATATTCACCGTTACAAAAACTTTGTGAAAATCATTAGCATAATTCACTGTTGCAAAAACTTCGTGAAAAAAATTGTACGACAATGAATAATTTATTACGTTCAGGTTAAAATCTAATTAAGATTCACAAATAGGATGGGTAGGATTATATTATATTACATAAATATGAACAACGTTAGGTTAAGTTGCTAAGTTACTCTTGACGCAAAAAATGCATTTCATGTAAATTCACAGGAATAAAGTTGAAACAATATTTTTTGACTGTTGTCTGACCAACTTAGCTTAGGCAGGACAAAGACATAAGCAGGTTGAGTGACGTTACAGGTCCTGGTACTCACTAGGTCCTGGTACTCACTTGGTGGTGGCCCCCACAGATCAAGACGGAGGTGCAAGGATCAACAGGTATATATAAAAAATAGAATAAATTACGGGTAAAAATTCTACCACTGAAGCAGAATAAAAATAATAAACAAGAGATCACTTTGGCAAAAAAATAACATTAAACATAAACACTGCTTACAAAAAAAAAAAATACTAGACGATTGAAAAAATATGATAAAATGTCTTAAAATAGCTGAGTAATAAGATGAGCATTCGGTACGGAAAAAAAGCGAAGACAAGGTACTGTCGAGGAAGCAGATAGCACCCGTGTGTGTGCTGTGTGCTCGGCTGGCCTCGCCGTGTTGTCACCTTGCCTGCAGCCGTGGGTGACGGGTCTAGATCTGGCGTTGACGGCAATGATGGACTCGGCTCCGCTGGGCTTGACTTTGTTAGGTGTTGATCTGTTGGGTTCACCTCCGATGGGCTTGACTCTTCTGTTGAGTTAAGCTCCGATGAATTAGGCTCCTGTGGACTCTGCTCTGTGACACCAGTGCCCTGCGCCTTCAGCTCCCTTCTTGTTGACACCGACGTGGTTGCCTCTCCAGCGTGCACTATTGCTCTGGACTGCTGGGGTATTATCCTGGTGCCCCCGCTCCACTTCATGGTATGGACTGAGGGACGAGATGTTGCTCGGTTTACCGTGGAGAGAACGATGCTGCCGCGCTCGGCTGCTCGCCTCACTACCATGCTGTTATTGGGCACCAGGTGGACTCTCTCTTGCTGCTCCTGCCAGGCATATCAACAACCTGCCTTTAGCAACTCTCAGCATCTACATAATGGCACCCATCACATAGCGTCCATTAGTGCCTCAAAAATAATCTAACACTAGTGCATTTACCATCACCTAACAATGTTGCCTCTATTATTGTCTAACATTAGTGCATCTATTATTATCTAGCACTACTGCTTCAAGCATTATCAAACATTAGTGCATCTACCTTCATCAAGCACTGCTGCCTCTTGCATCGTCTAATGCTGATATGTTTATTTTTTCTTTATCCCACTACTGCAGCCATCTTTACCGAACACTAATGTATCTATCTTCCCGTGTCAACATTTGGACATTAGATATTTGACAGACTCTCGCGAGACGATGTAGAAGAGTAGACAGATGTTATTCAACTGAAGCAGGCAACTGGATGCTGTCAGGTAAAGACGTAATGACCAATACCTCTGCGAGACGCCAACACTTACCAAATGTCTGAAAGCCAATGGTTCCTGACTTCCTGACTATACTCCAGGGTTACATGTGAAACAAAGTCATTTCTCATTTAGTATTACTTACCAAACAGATCAGATTACACTACAAATTAGCATACCATTAATCTGAATGCATAATCCTTCAATAAATTCTTGAAAAAACGTTAATTAGATACTTGTGAGCTGTGAGGGGATCTACTAATACAATATTAAATACTATATAAATGTTAAACTTGGAAATCACAACATGAAGATAATCACTACAGAACTAGTGTGATTCTACCGTGAAACGAGAATGTGTTAAATTGTACGCCATGCTTAGGTTGGTGGAAGTGGAGGGCGTGGTGAGTGTGACAGTTAAGGGGAGACTGTTCTGGTGCTCAAGACGTCAATGGTGAAAGGGGTGGGGGGAAAGATATATATCTACAGCAGTGTTGTTGGGCCGGGGCAAGGACGGGCAGAGGGCCATGCTGGTGGGACGTGCACAAAATCGGTGTGTTAGGTAAGGGGGCACCTTCTCTCCCTTTCAGTACTCTACAGTAGAATGTAGTTCTGAAGAAAACATGTGGAGTATATAAAATTTAAAATATTAATAAGATTATTCTATTATAAATCACTACAAACTAGGGAAATTTGCGCCTGCAGTGTCGAACCAGGAGACCTCATGTTAATCTCCTCATTATCACATAGATGTCAAAATAACACCTAAATGCATACATTATACTTAGGTGTGAAAAGTGCACTGTTTGACCCTGTGTATACTTAACCTCACCACCTGTCCTTAGTGGTCCTCAGTTTTGAAAATGATACTGAGATTCCCCCAAAATTATCCTACCCTTTATCCTAGTACTTCATTCCTCTTACCCACTATTCAACCCCTCCCCTCCCCAACCTACTGCTATCATTCAACTAGTTCAAACAAATCATACAACCCAAAGACTTCACTCCCCACCTGCTTGGAACTCGGCATATTATTCAACCTTGACTTGTACATATCCTGGGTTTCGCAATACAAATATCGTAAGAGGACTGGCTCATACCGTACAATTATCATAAAAACAAATTCACACGTAGAAAAATTATTTATTTTTATTTTCATACATACTGTTATATGCTATATATCATCAAAAAAACTTGAATATCTGACAGATTACAAACACATCACTTTTAGTTCTGCTGCGAGTTAATTTTATATTTGACAATAATTGTGGCTAAAGGGATAAAGAACTATGGTAAAAGGGTAAAGGGTTACCACCTTAGTACTAGGATAGAGGAGTGACCACCTTAATACTAGGATAAAGGAGTGACCACCTTAATACTAGGATAAAGGAGTGACCACCTTAATACTAGGATAAAGGAGTGACCACCTTAATAATAGGATAGAGAAGTGACCACCTTAATACTAGGATAAAGGAGTGACCACCTTAATACTAGGATAAAGGAGTGACCACCTTAATAATAGGATAGAGAAGTGACCACCTTAATACTAGGATAAAGGAGTGACCACCTTAATACTAGGATAAAGGAGTGACCACCTTAATAATAGGATAGAGAAGTGACCACCTTAATACTAGGATAAAGGAGTGACCACATTAATACTAGGATAGAGGAGTGGCCACCTTAGTACTAGGATGACAAAGTTGATCCCATGTATCAGAAACCTTCCCTATGAGGATAGACTAAGGGCCCTGAATCTGCACTCTCTAGAAAGACGTAGAATTAGGGGGGATATGATTGAGGTGTATAAATGGAAGACAGGAATAAATAAAGGGGATGTAAATAGTGTGCTGAAAATATCTAGCCTAGACAGGACTCGCAGCAATGGTTTTAAGTTGGAAAAATTCAGATTCAGGAAGGATATAGGAAAGTACTGGTTTGGTAATAGAGTTGTGGATGAGTGGAACAAACTCCCAAGTACCGTTATAGAGGCCAGAACGTTGTGTAGCTTTAAAAATAGGTTGGATAAATACATGAGTGGATGTGGGTGGGTGTGAGTTAGACCTGATAGCTTGTGCTACCAGGTCGGTTGCCGTGTTCCTCCCTTAAGTCAATGTGACCTGACCTGACTAGGTTGGGTGCATTGGCTTAAGCCGGTAGGAGACTTGGACCTGCCTCGCATGGGCCAGTGGGCCTTCTGCGGTGTTCCTTCGTTCTTATGTTCTTATAAAGGAGTGACCACCTTAATACTAGGATAAAGGAGTGACCACCTTAATAATAGGATAGAGAAGTGACCACCTTAATACTAGGATAAAGGACTGACCACCTTAATACTAGGATAAAGGACTGACCACCTTAATACTAGGATAAAGGAGTGACCACCTTAATAATAGGATAGAGAAGTGACCACCTTAGTACTAGGATAAAGGAGTGACCACCTTAATACTAGGATAAAGGAGTGACCACATTAATACTAGGATAGAGGAGTGGCCACCTTAGTACTAGGATAGAGGAGTGACCACCTTAGTACTAGGATAGAGGAGTGGCCACCTTAATACTAGGATAAAGGAGCGACCACCTTAATACTAGGATACAGTGACCACTAATACTAGGATAGAGAAGTGACCACCTTAGTACTAGGATAGAGGAGTGGCCACCTTAGTACTAGGATAAAGGAGTGACCACCTTAATACTAGGATAAAGGAGTGACCACCTTAGTACTAGGATAAAGGAGTGGCCACCTTAGTACTAGGATAGAGGACTGACCACCTTAATACTAGGAAAAGGAGTGACCACCTTAGTACTAGGATAAAGGAGCGACCACCTTAGTACTAGGTTAGAGGAGTGACCACGTTAGTACTAGGGGGTAACAAAACTAGGGGGGGGGAGAGTCAGGGAAAGTAGGTAAACAAAAGGGGCAAAACGTTTGCAGTTTACCTGGAGTTTACCTGGAGAGAGTTCATTTTAACATCTAAATGTTGTTTTACACCTATGCGTGAGCTGTTACACCTAGGTGCTAATAAAGGAGTTTAAATCATTCACTGTGCCTGGGACCATAGAATAATAAATTCACCAACTTAGCAATTAAAAGTACATGCCCAGTTATGTACTATCAGTTTCAGTGCTACACAACATAGCGGAATAATGATGTACAGCCTTTTGTGATAGCAACATCTGTGCCTAATAACATTCACATAGCGAAGATCTTATATCCTAACAGTTTTTATATATAACTATATATAAATATAAACAGGAACACCTGAAATATATCTTTGCGATAGCATTTCCTGCTTGACAGTAAATATATATATATATATATATATATATATATATATATATATATATATATATATATATATATATATATATATATATATATATATATAATATATATATATATATATATATATATATATATATATATATATATATATATATATATATATATATATATATATATATATATATCTCGTGTCGAATAGGTAAAACTGGTCAAGTAGCAAGAACTCATTTAAAATTAAATCCTTTCTAAAAAAAATTCTTATACGTTCAAAGATATTTTTCTCATTTATGTTAATGTAAAAATTAATAATTTTGCACCAAAAGAACCTTAGAAAACTTATTATAACAAGAGAAATTTAATTTAGCCTAATCCAACTAAATATATTTTAGGTAAGTTTACAATAATTTAATAATAAACAAACATAATGAAATATATTTTTTCCGTTAGGTTCAAAATGATTTTTGAGAAATTATTGCATACACAAATTTTCGCTTGTCCTTATTCGGCAAGAAGAGCGTTACTATTTAAACCAAAATAGCAAGTTTTACCTGTTCATATATATAATACACAACCCGCACATAGGAGACTAAAACTTATAATGATATTTCGGTCTGACTTGAACTATTAACTAGTAACATTATCGTCATAAGTATCATTGTCTTATGTGCGGGTTATTCATGTATTGTTCCAGTCACGGTATTATTTTTATATTCTTAAAGAGTCCTCCATCATGACCACATCCTCTTTCTAGAAAATGGCTGGCAACATTCGTATCTAAGGGTAACTTCATGCCGGTGATAGGCTCTTCATCCAAGGAACTGGTGCTACCCTTCTTTCCCTCGGGTCCAACTTAACTACTTGCAATGTCCCCACCCTCCGGTGGTGTATGACTCCTACGCGTTTAGAGTTTACCCATAATAAGCCAGTGACAAGAGCTGCAACGAGGCTCAGTGTTATACTCTGTGACCGTAGTTCTTGTGTGACACTAACACCTTCCTAAGTAAACACTTCTCTATATTGTGTAATGTCTTCCTTCTTGATTATGATATCTTTAACATAGTGATAATTCTTATATTCTTTGCAGGATGAAAATATCCTTGTAATGTTATGGTCGTCAATAGCAAGAACACCTCTCATTCATCAACCTACCTTCAAGGTGCAAACTTACGTGCACACGTTCACACACACACACACACACACACACACACACACACACACACACACAACACACACACACACACACACACACACACATACACACACACAGTGAAGAGGCGGGGCCAGGAGCTGAGTCTTGACCCCTGCAACCACAATTAGGTGAGTACAATTAGGTGAGTACACACAGAGGTATGATAAAGCTCACGGTTCAAGGAGAGTAACCTAGTAGCGACCAGTGAAGAGGCGAGGCCAGGAGCTAGGACTCGATCCCTGCAACCTCAACTAGGTGAGTACAACTAGGTGAGTGCACACACACACACAAACGCAAACGGAAACGCAACTAATATATAAACATTTATTTTAAATACATCGCTGAGGAATGACGGTTATCAAGTGTAGATTAGATGAACCTCAGTCCTGGGCGACACCTTCTTTTATTTTATATTATTTTATATCCAGTCAACAACCCGCCTTGAATACATTTATAACAAAGTCATCCTTTTCTACAATATTCACTCTTTTTTGTTTTAAATTTAATAACGATATTAACGTGTAAAGACGAAATTTCCTATCAAACTATTTTCAAGTACTTCTTCAAAATCTTCTTGTACTCAAAATCTTGTTATACTCAAAATCTTCTTGTACTCAAAATCTTGTACTCAAAACATCCCTAATTTTCAGCCTTGGATGTTCCCGGACCTCACTCCCTGTCATCCTCTCCCTCCGTAACTCCCTACCTCGTTCCCATTGCCTAACCCTTCCTCTTCGTCTCTCCTGCTTTCCCTCCCTCTTAACTCACCTCTGAACCGTCTTCCAATAGCATGACTGCGGCACGCTCACACTTGAGGAGCCGCTGGGCTCTCTGCAGAGTCTTGAGGATCACGTTCTCCAGCGAGGTCTGTTCCTCGAACAGGTCGTGCACCACCTCCAACAGACTCTGAAGGAAGATAAAGAAGGAGGAGGGGAACCGGATGAAGAGGGAGAGAGGAAGAGGGTGAGGAGGAGGAGGGAGGTTCGTGGAAGATAGACAACAGTGTTAAGATTAATATTTATATCTCATCATCTGGCGATATCTTAACTACTGTCTAGGTGTTGTTAATTCTCTTTATAGTCATGAGGTCAGGAGAGAGAAAGAGAGAGAGAGAGAGAGAGAGAGAGAGAGAGAGAGAGAGAGAGAGAGGAGAGAGAGAGGAGAAGAGAGAGAGAGAGAGAGAGAGAGAGTGAGAGAGAGAGAGAGAATTTTAAGAGTAACAAGAAACATGCAAGAGAGGTAAACAGTCAGTCTGTGTTATGGTTGGTAATGCTTTATACATAAATTTAATTAAGGTTCCTTGTTATGTAGACAAGGGCTATGTATTACCATAATATATGTGGAAAAAAGTCACGACATAAATTTCTTTCAGAACAAGAGGTGTTGCGGTCTACACTTTGCAGCTGCTCGTCACGATACAAAATATACGCTATCAGAAACAGACTCAGAAAAATAACAGAACGTAAAAGACAGTGATCTAAGTTATGAGTATTATAAAGAGAAGGAAAATTGTGCAAAGACACGAGGATCAAGAAAATGAATACGAAGAGAAAAAAAAAACCATACCACGGGCGGGGATGGAACCCACGATCAGAGACTCTCTGACCGCGGGTTCTATCCCCACCCGTGGTATGGTTTGTTTGCAATCGTGTCATTACGATTTCGTGAGTCACAAGACAGAATAAGAGAACGGTAAGAAAGACAGCTTACTCTGTTTCTCTCATATTCTGCCTGCGAGGCTTCCATCAACTGGGCGTTGGTGATGGCGATGCCCACGAACTGCAGGTACGTCTCAAACATCTGGAGAGAAAAAGAGAATGACGGGGGAAGAGAATAAATTAAAATTATTATCTACATGTTGATAAATTAGACGCATGTGCAACACTTAGGTATCTTTAATGAGGAAACGTTTCGCTACACAGTGGCTTCATCAGTCCACACAAAGGAGAATGGTGAAGAACAGGAGAAGTTTGAGGTAATCAGTCCCTCAGCCTGGAGTCGATGAGTGACACAGCAACATCTTGGGATCTTAATACAGGAAATTCTTCACTTGCCTAACCCTTGGTCACGACCTACTTCCACATTTGTCAACTGTGATACCACCTACGACTGCTGCACCTCTCCTGCCTACAGTATATAAGCCACTTCGCTTATATACTGTATTCTGTATTCTGTTCAAGATTGATGGACTGATTACATCGACTCAAGGCTGAGGGACTGATTACCTCAAACTTCTCCTGTTCTTCACCATTCTCCCTTGTATGGACTGATGAAGCCACTGTGTGGCGAAACGTTTCCTCATTAAAGATACCCAAGTGTTGCACATGTGTCTAATTTATCAACTTGTCGGTTCTCTGAACCATTCATCTACAATATCAACATATTCCTCCATCCACCCACTGATACATCATCCAATCAACTCTTACCGGAGTCTTTATTTTTTTCCCGGCCAAGATGCATTTTTTCTGCTTTAATACGTGAAACATTCATCATTATGTCCATAGCTCATCCTAAAATTTATGAAATTATTATTAATACTTAGGACTCCGAAGAGAGAATGACTTACTTTCTCGTCCTTAGCAGTGAAGCATCCACAGGAGCCATCATCAGCACTCTTGTTGACCACCTGAGCCACGGCGATGATCTCGTCGTAGGAGTTCTTAACCGGCATGCACAGCAAGGAGTCCGTGTGGTATCCGGTTATCCGATCTACTTCGTCGTTGTAACGGGGGTCCTGAAATAGTTTTAATCATAACTATACTTTTTACAGGGGTGGACCGGGTAAGCCAGTGAAAGGCCTCGGTCGGATGACCAAAAGCTCCAGCGGCAGGAAACACTTGTCCTGTTTCCTGATAAATCTTACCTAACCTAACCTGTGGGTGCAGTAGGAACACTGAGGCGAGAAATATGAAACTAAGAGTAGGAACATTACACAAGCTCTAACCAACGCATTACTGTTGTCATTTTTTTTTTTTGCAGTGAGAGATGATGGAAGGAAATGAAGTTACATGGAACCTTTCTTCCAAATCTACATAGATGAAGCAACATGGACCTCCACAAACGGATTTCAGAACATCTAATATGCCAGCGGGATGGCAAACTTAAACGTCTACGTAGTTCACCGAAATTTTTACAAACATTTGATGAATTAGAATTGTGTACTATTGATTGCCATGGAGAACGATATTCAGAAGAAAAAGTGTTGAATAGGCACCAATTAATATTTCTACAACTTTAACCTGAAAAACGATTTCTACGACTTAGGAGAGTCTGTGGCCAGAAAACTGCTAAATGTTTAGGAAGCAATGTGACATAATGCGCACTTCCAGCATTCTTCGCCTCGCCTCAACTTGCTGTTATATATGCTCAGCCTCTGCTTCCAGGGTTATCTGTGTGTGATCTGATAAAACCCATTATGTGGGCGACACGTCGTCAATAAAATTTCCATGTAACTGTTTCTTAATCATTGTGTCAGTATATACCATGAGCAACCTAGTATGAAAAATATTTTCCAATTTGAATCGCGAGTTAAAGATATACAAAGAGAATAAACCTTTTAAGCGACGTTTTGGGCGAGATGATTCGTACATTGACGAGAGACAATTAATTACTTCATTTATAACAAAACAAAAAGTGCAGTAAATTTCGCGTCACTGAAAAAAAGGCATTTCAAGACCCTGCAAATAAGAGAAGAAATAGGAGCAGCAGAAGAGACCAAAAGACACAGCAGCAGAATACGAAGAAGAAAAAGGAGTCAACTCAGTGAACATTATAAGGTGTCTGATACCAGCAATGCCCTGCCAGTAAATTCGTTCCTCTTCACTTCAAGCTCTCAAGCTGCAGAAGGTAATCCAGTTCCACGAAAGTAGCGCTGAATTGCTTTCTGATCTGCTCCTAAGACCTTGTTACTGGAGTTTGCGAAACATTCTCATGTAGAGGCTTGAATTTTGTGTTGTTTGGGTAGAAAGTTTCTAGTTTCATCTAACAGTCTGGCGAGAATATGTGGAGGAAAGTAATGGCAAGCCTCTAGTATTCCTCCTCTCCTCTACTCTCCCACACTCTGCCACCCACACGTGTGTCTCTCATCTTACTCATTTCTAGCCTTATTTATCTGTGTATAAAGTTCACTCTCGCTCATTCCTTCAGGTCATTTCTTTTTCTAGCCACTCTGAGGCTGTAAAATAAAATCTGACCTCCGTGTTTCATGCACATGTTTAAAACCCTTAAATCATTGATGTAAAGTCTTGTGAGTGTGCTGTAAGTTGTATACATGTCATATCTCCGCTGTTCTTTCTGTTACCTAATGTTATTTTTGTCTTTTCTTTACAGAAGTCGCGCCCCTTTAACCCCAAGAATGTTTTCGCTGCAAATCTCTGAGCTTTCTCAATTTTTTGATGTGTGGTACATCCTGGCTCTTACATACTCTATTTGTGTCTTTTGCGCAAAGATAATGGAAAAACGGAAACAAAAGGAGGTAGTGGAGACTTACAAAGATTCAAGAATGGATCGAAAACAAGTGCTAAGAAATTAAACAAAAATTCCATGCACAGAGTAACCAATGAGAAATATGGGTACTGAGTGTAACGCACTCAGAGGTAAACGAATGAGGGGGAAAACTCCATAAACTGAAGCACGACCTCATAAAGACGACTGCGTACACTATGATAAGTCAGCTATACCGTCAACACTGCTGCCATACAAAGGTGATCCCTATATTGTTAGTGAACTCTGCGCTATATAACCCGTAGAGTTTCATCCTTAATGTTTTTATTCAATCTCTCTCTCTCTCTCTCTCTCTCTCTCTCTCTCTCTCTTATATTATATATATATATATATATATATATATATATATATATAATATATATATATATATATATGTATGTATGTATATATATATATAATATATATATATATATATATATATATATAATATATATATATATATATATACATATATATATCTTGAGAGTAATGTGTGGTGTGAATATCGTGCAGAGAATTCGAAGCGTAGACATTAAAGGAGATGTAAGGTCACTAAGGGTATAATCGAGAAGAGGAGTGAGGAAGGTAAGTTGAGGTGGTGGTGTGAGCACGTACAGAGGATGGAGAGGCATGCGATAAAAAAGGATGTAGGCTGTGTTACTGAAAAAAAAACTCAGAAATCTATATGACAAACTAAACACTGAAGATTAGACAACAAGATCATGGTTATGCTCCTGAAACCCCAGATAAGTAATCTATCCACACACACACAATTCTAACAGGACACAAACTAATCTGCTAACCATACATTGTTACGACAACAACAAACCACAGGTTCAAGTTAAGAGAGAGAGAGAGAGAGAGAGAGAGAGAGAGAGAGAGAGAGAGAGAGAGAGAGAGAGAGAGAGAGAGAGAGAGAGAGAGAGAGAGAGAATCACACGAAAGGATATTCGTACAAAGGTTTTCCCAGAAGAGTGACAGAAAGATGGCATGGTTTACAAGATTTGCTGCCACAACCACTACAAGAGTGACAGAAAGATGGCATGGTTTACAAGATCTGCTGCCACAACCACTACAAGAGTGACAGAAAGATGGCATGGTTTACAAGATCTGCTGCCACAACCACTACACACTTTAAAAACCTTGACTTACTATAGACCGGACACCACAAACCTAAGTCTGTTCCTACAAATAGGTCATCGTGAGCCAGTGTAATGACCTATTGTATACTCTACCAGCAATAGTGAGAGTCCGAGGCAGCTGTGAAGATTGCAGTAGGGATGTAGGAGAGTACAATTAGGTGAGTACATGTAGGAATAGTTAGGTGAATTCAGTTAGGTACTAATACACATAACCAAAACAAACACCAGGTAACATAACCAAAACAAACACCAGGTAAAACAACCAAAACAAACACCAGGTAATATAACCAAAACAAACACCAGGTAACAACCAAAACAAACACCAGGTAACATAACCAAAACAAACATCAGGTAAAACAACCAAAACAAACACCAGGTAACATAACCAAAACAAACACCAGGTAAAACAACCAAAACAAACACCAGGTAACATAACCAAAACAAACACCAGGTAAAACAATCAAAACAAACACCAGGTAAAACAACCAAAAAAACCAGGTAACAACAAAAATAAACACAAGGTAACACAACCAAAACAAACACATGTAACACACGCAACCAAAGCAAACATGTGTAACAGGATAGTGACCACTGCTGGTAGCCCAGGATAGTGACCAATGCTGGTAGTCTAAGATAGTGACTCATACTGAAAGTGACCCATACTGAGTAGTCCAGGAGTGTCACCAGCTAGGATAATTAGCCAGGGGGAAGGAGGTAATGCAGAGGGGGAGTTATCTAGGAAAAGAGGTTATCCAGGGGTTGTTATCCAGGGGGAGGGTAGTTATTAGTTGATGACCCTCGAAATGACTGATTTTCCCTGGATATATATATATATATATATATATATATATATATATATATATATATATATATATATATATATATATATATATATCGAAAGATCAATCTACGCTAACTTATTTATTGTGGTATAAACATTATTGTTTAATGTTATTGTTGTTTTTTATATTTATTATTACTGTTATGTTTATTTTTATTCATTATGTTTAGTATTATTGTTGTTAGTTATGTTTAGTGTTAATGTTGTCTGTTATTTTTATTGTTGTTGCCTTTTATGTTTAGTGCTGTTGTCTGGGATGTTTAGTGTTATTGCTGTCTTTTAAGGGCTGTTTTGTGGTATGTTTAGTGTTATTGTTGTCTGTTATATTGATACTGTTGTCTGGGATGTTTAGTGGAGAGGACTGTGTGGGAGACAGTGAGACATTCCTGGGACTCCAGCGATGAACTATGCTTCGTAGTCACCTCAATACATCAATACAGATAAGAGTGACTTGGAAAGTAGTAGACAGCCACCACTCCACAACATATATTACGTAAGTCATTTCTTGACACACTCTTTGCTTTTTTAGTGTGAGCCAGACACAGCATCCCTCTCACAGCAACACGTCACTGCCTGCCTCACTATCTCTGATGCAGGTCCTGGTCGAACACATGAAATGGGAAATATGGAAGCAGCCGGGTTTGTTCCGAGGAAAGGGGTAATTCTCGCTCTTCGGATCATTTTAATGTGGATGAGAATGTCTGAGCACGTAGGGTGAGGCGACTGAGGTATTGTGAAGGACACTGTTCTCGCTTATTTGTACTCACCTATTTGTGGTTGTAAGGGTTGACAGTCACAGCTCCTGGCCCCGTCTCTTCGCTGGTCGCTACTAGGTTCACTCTCTCCCTGCTTCATGAGCTCTGTCGTATCTCTTCTTAAAGCTATGTATAGATCCTGCCTCCATTACATCACTCTCCAGATTGTTCCACTTCCTGACAACTCTATGACTGAAGGAATATTGAGTGTGTGTGGGGAGGGGGTAAAAGAGGGGTGGGGGTGGGAGGGGGAGGTGGGGAATGGAGGGAGTGGTAGTATCAGGAAGGTAGATTATCATTATTATAATAAAAAAGAAGCGCTAAACCACAAGGGCTGTACAGCTCAGGAAGGTAGGTAGAGAAAGGAGAAGGTTTAAAAGTGAAATAGTGGAGAACAAGAGAACAACGAAGACGAAGGAGAAAAAAGAAAACGGGAAAAAATAAGACGAGGGAAAAAAAGAAGAAAAATGAGAAGAATATCGGAACAAAGAGGATAAAGGACTAAGTGGAAAAAAAAGGAAGAACAGAGAAGGCAGACTGGTATTCCCACGCTTGTGTCTCCTTAACCACCTACCTTAACCTCCCTCCCCCCCAGCATACGTTTGGTAAAGTACATCATCAACATCAACAACATCACCAACAACATCACCATCACCATAACATCAACAACATCATCACCAACAACACTGACATCAATATCACCAAGATCATCAACATCACCACCACCAACAACAACTGGTTTCATGCAGTTACAACGCAAGTTAATATCACTTTTATTAATATATAACAGTGATGTGCAGCATCACTCAGTGATGTGCAGCATCACTCAGTGATGCTGCACATCACTCTTCACACAAAACCACAATACCTCTAATTCATCTCATATACACAATTCTTCAGCAAAGGGCTGAGAGTGCTGACAAAATTCTGATATTCAAGAACGGTCTCTTGAGTATATCTATAGTTAATCTATGATTCTTATTTAGTAACACACGATGCTGTTGGTTGTTACTGGTCAGTTGTATGACGTATGTTATGACACACGAATCGGTTGCTGCCAGCCACTCACGTAGTGATGTGTGACGTTAAATAACATTATTCGTGACTGGATGGTGCGCTGTGTGGAAAGTCAATCACAAAATCGATCTCAAATGCGATCATAATATGCATATTTCGAACACTTACCGACCTTTTCAAATTTGCTGAGGAGAACCTCAGGTGAAGGTTGAATTATCCAAATTCTTATGTCATGCCTATTTATGAATAATATATATATATATATATAATATATATATATATATATATATATATATATATATATATATATATACGAATGCACACACACAGGAGCTGTGAATCGACCCCTACAACCACAATTAGGTGAGTACACACACATACAACAACGAAGACTTGCCTGACAGGCACACTCCAGGTTGACAGTGTCGCCAGTCTCGGCTACGTGCCCAAGGATACCCTTGCCCCAGGGCACCTCCATAGCGTTGTCCTCAGTGGTGGCCGGGTAGATGTTGGTACCACTGTGCACGTCAAACACCTGTAGAAAAATAAATGATGGATAGATTATATCGGGGGAAGTGAGTATAACAGATAGATCAAAGAGTGACAGAATACATCAAGGAATGGGAGAACACAGGAGGGAGTGTGAAAGTAGATGTAGAGAGTACATGACGAGTACATCATTCACCATTCACCCCATACTTCTTCCATATTTAACCATCACTCAAGCTTCATCATTTATTGCAGCCCTCTTCCTCCTCATCCTCCTCCTTTTCCCTCTCCTCACCTTCGTTACAAAGTGTTGTGTGAAAATTACGTAGATAATCCGGAGCTTGGAGATTAAGCGTGGGGTTAGCAATAAGTATTACTCAGAAGGTGGAGGAGGCGTTGAAGCAGTTTAGACATTCAGAGAGAATGAACAAAAATGGGATGACTAGGAGGGTGTATAAATCTGGGGGTGGAAGGAAGGAGAGTCAGGGTCTCTGGAGAGGTTGGAGAGAGTTAATGAGGTTATGAGTGCTAGGGGCTTAACATCTTACTGGCTTGTGTGAGCGTATTGCACTGGAGTGGAGGTAGGTGGCTTTTGTGGCTTAAGTTGCTCTTAGAGTATACGCAAGGTAACATTTACCGTACTTTTCCGGTATATAAGAGGCACGACAGAAGTATCATAAGGGGAAATCAGCAATCATATTCAAGGGCTAATTTCCTTCTTACTTTACACTAAAGCCTAGCCCAAAGCCTACCACTGACCCTGATCTTGAGCATATAAGGCCCAGACAGATTTTCAAAGACTTTCTATGGGAAAAAAGGCGCGCCTTATATGCCGGAAAATATGGTACAAAGGGATTCTGGGAAAACAGTTAGGCGGACTCGAGTCCTGGAGATGGGATAGGCAGTACCTGTACTCAGTAAAAGGCGGTACCTGTACTCAGTAAGGCAGTACCTGTATTCGGTAAAAGGCAGTACCTGTACTCAGTAAAAGGCAGTACCTGTACTCAGTAAAAGGCGGTACCTGTACTCAGTAAGACAGTACCTGTACTCAGTAAAAGGCAGTACCTGTACTCAGTGAGGCAGTACCTGTACTCAGTAAAAGGCGGTACCTGTACTCAGTAAGGCAGTACCTGTACTCAGCAAAAGGCAGTACCTGTACTCAGTAAAAGGCAGTACCTGTACTCAGTAAGGCAGTACCTGTACTCAGTAAGGCAGTACCTGTACTCAGTAAAAGGCGGTATCTGTACTCAGTAAGGCAGTACCTGTACTCAGTAAAAGGCGGTACCTGTACTCAGTTAAAGGCAGTATTTGTACTCAGTAAAAGGCAGTACTTGTACTCAGTAAAAGGCAGTACTTGTACTCAGTAAAAGGCAGTACTTGTACTCAGTAAAAGGCAGTACTTGTACTCAGTAAAAGGCAGTACTTGTACTCAGTAAAAGGCAGTACTTGTACTCAGTAAAAGGCAGTACCTGTACTCAGTAAGGCAGTACCTGTACTCAGTAAAAGGCGGTACCTGTACTCAGTAAAAGGTAGTATTTGTACTCAGTAAAAGGCAGTACTTGTACTCAGTAAAAGGCAGTACTTGTACTCAGTAAAAGGCATCACTTGTACTCAGTAAAAGGCAGTACTTGTACTCAGTAAAAGGCAGTACTTGTACTCAGTAAAAGGCATCACTTGTACTCAGTAAAAGGCAGTACCTGTACTCAGTAAGGCAGTACCTGTACTCAGTAAAAGGCGGTACCTGTACTCAGTAAAAGGCAGTATTTGTACTCAGTAAAAGGCAGTACTTGTACTCAGTAAAAGGCAGTACTTGTACTCAGTAAAAGGCAGTACTTGTACTCAGTAAAAGGCATCACTTGTACTCAGTAAAAGGCAGTACCTGTACTCAGTAAGGCAGTACCTGTACTCAGTAAAAGGCGGTACCTGTACTCAGTAAAAGGCAGTATTTGTACTCAGTAAAAGGCAGTACTTGTACTCAGTAAAAGGCAGTACTTGTACTCAGTAAAAGGCAGTACTTGTACTCAGTAAAAGGCATCACTTGTACTCAGTAAAAGGCAGTACTTGTACTCAGCAAGCATAAGAAGGTATGAAGATCATGCAGTTCGGAAGGCCACCTGAACTGGTACGCCACCACCCTTCTGGCAAGGAGGTGATTGAATGAGTGACGGTAAATGTGTTTCCTCTTTTTTTTTGGGGGGGAGGGGGGTGGACACCCTACTTCGGCGGGAGACAACAGCGAGTTAAAAAAAAAAAAAACACACAAAAAATTGCTGAACAGAAAGATGATGTTGAGATATTACAGTAGGATGACAACCTGCAACACTGTGTTGAATACCCTGCAACACCGTGTTGGAAGACCTGCAACACTGTGTTGAACATCCTGCAACACCGTGCTGGAAGGCCTGCAACACTGTGTTGAGCATCCTGCAACACCGTGTTGGAGGACCTGCAACACTGTGTTGAACACCCTGCAACACCGTATTGGAAGACCTGCAACACTGTGTTGAACATCCTGCAACACCGTGCTGGAAGACCTGCAACACTGTGTTGAGCATCCTGCAACACCGTGTTGGAGGACCTGCAACACTGTGTTGAACACCCTGCAACACCGTATTGGAAGACCTGCAACACTGTGTTGAACATCCTGCAACACCGTGTTGGAGGACCTGCAACACTGTGTTGAACACCCTGCAACACCGTGTTGGAGGACCTGCAACATTGTGTTGGAGGACCTGCAACGTTGTGTTGGAGGGCCTGCAACACTGTATTGGAGGACCTGCAACACTGTATTGGAGGACCTGCAACACTGTATTGGAGGACCTGCAACACTGTATTGGAGGACCTGCAACACTGTATTGGAGGACCTGCAACACTGTATTGGAGGACCTGCAACACTGTATTGGAGGATCTGCAACACTGTATTGGAGGACCTGCAACACTGTATTGGAGGACGTGCAACACTGTATTGGAGGACCTGCAACACTGTATTGGAGGACCTGCAACACTGTATTGGAGGACCTGCAACACTGTATTGGAGGACCTGCAACACTGTATTGGAGGACCTGCAACACTGTATTGGAGGACCTGCAACACTGTATTGGAGGACCTGCAACACTGTATTGGAGGACCTGCAACACTGTATTGGAGGACCTGCAACACTGTATTGGAGGACCTGCAACACTGTATTGGAGGACCTGCAACACTGTATTGGAGGACCTGCAACACTGTATTGGAGGACCTGCAACACTGTATTGGAGGACCTGCAACACTGTATTGGAGGACCTGCAACACTGTATTGGAGGACCTGCAACACTGCAGGCGCTGCTCTCTACCATCACCTTTAATATTTATAACTTATTTAGGTCTCGAGTGTTCACTTCCCTGGTGTTCACTAACATAACTAGTGTTCACTTCCCTGGTGTTCACTAACATAACTAGTGTTCACTTCCCTGGTGTTCACTAACATAACTAGTGTTCACTTCCCTGGTGTTCACTAACATAACTAGTGTTCACTTCCCTGGTGTTCACTAACATAACTAGTGTTCACTTCCCTGGTGTTCAATAACATAACTAGTGTTCACTTCCCTGGTGTTCACTAACATAACTAGTGTTCACTTCCCTGGTGTTCACTAACATAACTAGTGTTCACTTCCCTGGTGTTCACTAACATAACTAGTGTTCACTTCCCTGGTGTTCACTAACATAACTAGTGTTCACTTCCCTGGTGTTCACTAACATAACTAGTGTTCACTTCCCTGGTGTTCACTAACATAACTAGTGTTCACTTCCCTGGTGTTCACTAACATAACTAGTGTTCACTTCCCTGGTGTTCACTAACATAACTAGTGTTCACTTCCCTGGTGTTCACTAACATAACTAGTGTTCACTTCCCTGGTGTTCACTAACATAACTAGTGTTCACTTCCCTGGTGTTCACTAACATAACTAGTGTTCACTTCCCTGGTGTTCACTAACATAACTAGTGTTCACTTCCCTGGTGTTCACTAACATAACTAGTGTTCACTTCCCTGGTGTTCACTAACATAACTAGTGTTCACTTCCCTGGTGTTCACTAACATAACTAGTGTTCACTTCCCTGGTGTTCACTAACATAACTAGTGTTCACTTCCCTGGTGTTCACTAACAACTAGTGTTCACTTCCCTGGTGTTCACTAACATAACTAGTGTTCACTTCCCTGGTGTTCACTAACATAACTAGTGTTCACTTCCCTGGTGTTCACTAACATAACTAGTGTTCACTTCCCTGGTGTTCACTAACATAACTAGTGTTCACTTCCCTGGTGTTCACTAACATAACTAGTGTTCACTTCCCTGGTGTTCACTAACATAACTAGTGTTCACTTCCCTGGTGTTCACTAACATAACTAGTGTTCACTTCCCTGGTGTTCACTAACATAACTAGTGTTCACTTCCCTGGTGTTCACTAACATAACTAGTGTTCACTTCCCTGGTGTTCACTAACATAACTAGTGTTCACTTCCCTGGTGTTCACTAACATAACTAGTGTTCACTTCCCTGGTGTTCACTAACATAACTAGTGTTCACTTCCCTGGTGTTCACTAACATAACTAGTGTTCACTTCCTGGTGTTCACTAACATAACTAGTGTTCACTTCCCTGGTGTTCACTAACATAACTAGCGTTCACTTCCCTGGTGTTCACTAACATAACTAGTGTTCACTTCCCTGGTGTTCACTAACATAACTAGCGTTCACTTCCCTGGTGTTCACTAACATAACTAGTGTTCACTTCCCTGGTGTTCACTAACATAACTAGTGTTCACTTCCCTGGTGTTCACTAACATAACTAGCGTTCACTTCCCTGGTGTTCACTAACATAACTAGTGTTCACTTCCCTGGTGTTCACTAACATAACTAGTGTTCACTTCCCTGGTGTTCACTAACATAACTAGCGTTCACTTCCCTGGTGTTCACTAACATAATTAGTGTTCACTTTCCTGGTGTTCACTAACATAACTAGTGTTCACTTCCCTGGTGTTCACTAACATAACTAGTGTTCACTTCCCT